GTGTTTTAATTTCAAGGTTTTCACCCCCGCAATTTTAAAGTAAATTTAACGCATCAAGAAAACGCTCTTGATTATACATTTTAGCGCCCAACGTGGGGCCCGTGATTCTATTGAAATTAAAATCCCGTGCATTTTCGAAATTGCATTCGAGATCGCAAGGAGCTGTTTCCCAGAGCGCTTTCTTTGCATAGCACGCCAGTACATTGTCTCCAAACACTTGGCACGGGACATCGTTAGCTGCATTTACAAAATTGCAGGCCAGTGTTTGTATATTAAAACACTGGGCGACCAGTCATCGCTCATTGTACATAAATATGTACAACTAGTATACATTCATTTGCACATGTATAAAGCCTGCCAGAACCGCACTGCTATTCTCTATTGTTCTCCAGGCATCGCTACAGGAGCGCTGTCGTTATCACCCACTACGCTATAGGAGCGTTGTTGTTAGCGGGACGGTATTATCGCGCCACTTCGTAAAGAAGTCGTTATTGTTGGTCGTGCAGTCCGAGGGTATTGTCATTGGCGATAGCGGTGATTGAAATCACGCCACCACAACTTTGCATAGGGCAAATATTTCGCATAGAAACCATACACATTTGTACATCGTCGCATCACACGTTGTTCAATTTGGCCATAGCCTACCGCTACATTCCTTTGTACTAAGGCACAAAAACATAGCAGTGTTTTACATACATACATTGAGGGTCTTCATGCAGTTAGCACTTCTGCATAAGAACGTTTATTCGCCACGAATTATACAGCAGCTGATTTTCGAGTTGCGGAACTTATGTATTAAAATCAAACCACAATTAATTCTTAATTTGCATCACCAATATGGCCAACTTAGAAGCTCTTAAGCAGCAGCGTCCGTCGGAACATAACCCGCATTCGCAGCACAGTTGATACAAAACTTGGAGTCTCGTCAGCTGAACTAAACTGTCGTTTGTCTATTTTAGAAGCCTACTTCAAGCAGGTAATGACAGTGCAGACCGAAATGGAGAAGATGGATCCAGACGAAGCCCAGCGGGACACCAGAAGTGAAATCGAAGACACATACGTCGCTATTAAGGTTTGCATTAAAGAGCAATTGGGCGCGGACGCCCACAATACAACCGTGGCCGATGCTTCGCCCTGCGTTTCTCATTCAACATCCATGAAGCTACCACGACTGGCACTTCCTACGTTTGATGGCAAGTACTCCGACTACAAAAACTTCGTAACGTCATTTAAGCAAGTCATTGATAGTCAACCTAGCTTGTCTTCTATCGAGAAGTTCAACCAACTGCTTAATTGTTTGAAGGGAGCGGCCTTAGAAACTGTGAAGGCATTTCAGATCTCTTCTGAAAATTATCCGAAAGCGCTCGAACGTCTTAAAGCTCGCTATGACAACCCCACGCTCGTCTTTTTGGATAATATAAATTCCTTATTCAGCTTGCCGAATGTTTCCAAATCGAATGCGCAACATCTGCGTAGTCTCATTGACAATGCATCAGCCCTGTACAACTCGTTACTGTCACTGGGTTCTGAGTCGCAAATTGCTCAGGCTATGCTCATCTCGATAGTGATGGACAAAGTCGATCAGGACACCAGGAAGAAATGGAATGAGTTTTTAGACTTCCGAGATTTTCCGACATGGACATCTTGCATTAGCGTCGTTGAACGACGTTGCCAATACCTAGAATCTATAGGTAAGCCCAGCATGGATGCTACGATGAGTCAACAATCAGTGAGTAAACCACGCAACCAAAAACCGCAACGACAAGGGTTGACCTTCAACTGTACACCACAAGCCTGTCACGTTTGCTCAAATACCGAACACAGAACCTTTAGGTGCCCTCAACTTATTGGAAATACGCTTAATGAACGCTACGATACTGCAAAACGTTTGGGGCTCTGCATTAACTGTCTCGGTAAAGGTCATCAGGCTGCGAAGTGTCCCTCAAGGCACAGATGCCGAACGTGCACTCGTCCACATCACACGCTGTTACATCGTGATGCTAATAACACAGCTTCTCCGGTGGCATCACAGCCCATAACGATGATACAGCAGAGTTCAGATGCCGTTGTTCATACACACACGGACACTTGTTTGAATCGAATTATACTATCCACTGCGTTGGTACAGGTTAAGGATGCTACAGGTCGTTACACAATTGGCCGCGCTCTACTGGACTCCTGCTCCCAGGTAAATTTTATATCTGATGAGTTCGCACAAACACTTCGTTTACGCCGTAAGAGAAGCAACTTGGAAATTCGCAGCATTGGGGAGTCGCAAACTCAGGTTAAGCATCGCACGTCTACCACAATCAAATCACGCTTTGTCGAATTGGAATTGCCACTCGATTTCTGTGTCACATCGCACATTGCCTATCATCCAAAATCGGAAATCGACATTTCATCATGGAATCTACCCAAGAATACGCAATTGGCTGACGAAAACTTCAACAAGTCGCGCCGCATTGACCTACTCCTTGGAACCGAAGCATTTTTTGATATCCTATCTGTTGGGCAAGTAAAACTTGGTCCTAATTTGCCTGTGCTGCAGAAGACCCTCCTGGGATGGGTTGTTTCCGGTCGTTGTGATGCAAGATCTACAACACCGCACAGCTATGCACTATCACTGGACGAATCCATAAACCAGAACGTAGAGCGCCTATGGCGTATCGAAGATGTTAGGACACCAGCTGATACCTACACTCCAGAGCAACGCAAATGTGAGGAAATCTTCATCACCACGGTTCGCCGACAAAACGATGGTCGAATTGTAGTTCGTCTTCCATTCAAGGATAATCCTTGTTTGCTAGGTCGGTCATATGAAACCGCCCGCAGACGCTTTGAAGCTCTTGAACGTCGCTTGAGCCGCACACCAGATATTAAGCGACAATACATAGACTTCATGGTAGAGTTCCAACGTTTGGGCCATATGAGCTTGGTGAGTACGCCGAAGATGAATGTGCCTCATTTTTATATACCCCTCCACTGTGTATTTAAGCCAAACAGTACGTCGACAAAGTTACGGGTTGTCTTCGATGCCTCCTGCCAGACTACGTCACAGTAGTCACTTAACGACTTATTGATGGTCGGACCAACCATACAGCTCGAGCTATACACGCTTCTGTTTCGTTTTCGATTGTATCGCTACGCGATTACTGCCGATATTGTCAAAATGTTCAGACAGGTTGTTGTTGATGATAAGGACCGGCAGTTTCAGTATGTACTCTGGAGAAATACACCCAATGAACCGCTTTGCACTTATGAACTCAATACAGTCACTTACGGGACCGCTGCTGCTCCATATCTTGCCATACGTAGTATGTCATATTTGGCTGATCAATACTTGGATAAGTTTAAAATCGGTGCCGAGGCCATAAAATCGTGCTTTTATGTAGATGACTTCATTTGTGGAGCAAATACTATTGATACTCTTCGTGAAATCAAAACAGAAGTTACCGAAGTACTTCGTCGTGGTAGATTTCAACTTGCAAAATGGCATTCAAACTACATCGAGTTTGTCGATGATTGCACCATCAAAGAGCTAAATCTGGACGACAAAGCTATAACTAGCACTCTGGGGTTAAGATGGAATGAACAAGAAGACGTTTTTATGTTTTCACTTGTGCCTAAGCAGACATTTAACGTTGTCTCTAAACGTTCAATACTGTCAGTGGCTTCATCTCTATTCGATCCGTTGGGATTAGTGTCACCTGTCATCATAGTAGCAAAAATTATTCTGCAAGAACTGTGGCTACTTAGACTGCAGTGGGATGAGTCAGTTCGACATAATATCCACACTGCATGGATTTCGTTTCTCTCATCACTTTCGTCGTTGGAGCTGCTTAAGATACCACGATTTTGCCTACAACCAAATGCTGGGAGCCTTCAGTTGCACGGTTTCTGCGATGCATCCATCAGGGCCTATGGATGTTGCATCTACGCACGTACGGTCAGCGCTGATGGTAAGGTTAAGGTGAATCTAGTTACATCGAAATCAAGAGTTGCACCAACTAGAAAACTATCGCTTCCGAAATTGGAATTGTGCGGCGCCCATTTGCTGGCACAACTTTTTGCCAAAATCGAAGTGAACTTTGCTGACCACAAGTATTCGAAGTTCTTGTGGAGTGACTCGCAAATCGTGCTATTCTGGATTCAGCAACACTCCGCCACACTGACCACGTTCGTCGGAAACCGAATATCTGAAATACAGGAGCAAACTTCCAGCTGTCATTGGAAATATGTTCCAACGCGCTGTAACCCCGCCGACCTATTATCAAGGGGATGTTCGGTGGATGAGCTAAATCAGTCTATGTGGTTCGAGCAGGACCTGCTTATTTGCTACAACACCAAGACGAGTGGCCAACACAAAGGCCGGGTGATATTGACCAAAATATTGTTGATTCGGAAAAACGCAAATCGGCATTTGCTGTTACTAGCGTTACCAACTATATACTCGAAGTTATCTACAACATCAGCTCGCATAGCCGTTGTTTGCTAATCGTAGCCTGGATGCTTCGTTTTAGTTACATAAGCAGAAAATTGTGTTCTTTCGATACACCATCTCCCTCGCCACAAGAACTACTACGTGCCATGCATTGTATTATTTGGAATTTGCAGACCAAATACTTCACCGATGACATCCAAGCACTTCGCAAAGGAAGAGAGGTCAGCGGCCACCTTAAATTTTTAAATCCCTTTTTACAGGTAACTGAAGGATTTATGCTGCTTAAGGTTGGAGGTCGCTTGGAGTTGGCAAACGTTCAATACACCCAGAAACATCCGATATTACTCCCAGGTAAAGATGAATTTGTTCGACGATATGTACAATTTGTTCACAGGCAGAACTACCATGCGGGCCCAAAGGCATTAGTTGGCCTTATCCGTCTACGATTCTGGATTGCCAATGCACGAGAAGTAGCACGGCGGGTCGTTCGCTCATGTGTTCACTGTGTTCGCTATCGACCAACCCTGGAGAGACAAATAATGGGTCACCTACCTGTCGAGCGCCTTACGCCATCGAGACCATTCTCAAGATGCGGTGTGGATTTTCGTGGCCCGGTTAACACGTACCTACGTATCCGCGGAAAAGTGCCTTACAAAAGCTATATCGCCATCTTTATATGTTTTGCCACGAAGGCGGTGCATGTTGAAGTGGTGTCCGATTTGTCAACCGAAGCCTTCATTGCGGCCTTGAAGTGCTTGGTAGCCAGACGCGGACTTCCGTCCGACATCTTTTGTGATAATGCTACCAACTTCAAAGGAGCCAACAACAAATTGTAGGCACTCAAGCAATTTTTATTCAATGAAGAAACGATCCACTCCATCAATAAATTTTGTTTAAATGAGTTCATAAAATTTCATTTCATCCCTCCCAGGGCCCCCCATTTTGGCGACCTGTGGGAGTCAGCAGTCAAGAGTGTCAAGGGGTTGCTCAACCGTACTTTAATGAATGCCCGACTCACATTCGAAGAGCTAACCACTGTAACTGCAGAAATAGAGGCGATTTTAAACTCCCGTCCCTTGTCTCCGCTCTCGTCGGACCCGAATGACCTGGCTGCACTCACACCAGGCCATTTCCTAATCGGAGATGCAATGCGTGCAATGCCTGAAACCCCAGTCGTGGAGTTGGATCTTTCAGAACATTGGCGACGAGTAAGCTCGATTAAACAACAGCTTTGGCGTCGCTGGTCACAGGAATACATAAATGAGCTTCAGGTGCGTAACAACTGGACCAAGTCGTCAACTAAAGTAACCGTAGGCCAAATGGTTTTCGTGCATGATGATAACTTACCACCTCAATGTTGGGTGCTGGGTCGTATCGAATCAGTTATACCTGGTAAGGACGACCGTGTACGCGTTGCTGATGTTCGTACCGCAAGAGGAGTAATTCGCCGACCCATACACAAGTTGGCTTTGTTACCAGTATCTTGAAAGTTGCCACATACTTTCAACGGGGCCGGGATGTGGGGTCGGACGCACATATGTACATAGATATGTGTGTATCTCAGCACTT